TTAGAGTAATTAAGGAAAGTGCGCAACACAGCCAACATATCCAATGCGTGGAAATCTGGACATGCCTGAGAACTAAATGAACAGCAACTGAAACAAATTAAAATAAACTGCCTCCTGCCATGGAGCCTTGGCTCAACTTTGTAGCAATCATTAGAACTTCTTCGGCTTCAATCATTAGACCTTCTTCGTCTCCATCCATTACAACTTCTTTGTGTTCAATTACTACAACATTTTCTTCTTAAATCGTTATAACTTCTTCTTCTTCTTTAATCAATAGAACTTCCTCTTCGTCAGTATATAATATATTTATTATATTATCTTCTTCGAGCATTAAACCTTCTTCGTCTTCGATCATTACATCTTCTTTTGTGCCTCCAACCTCTGGCTGGTGTGAACATTTTCCGACAGCACTCTGGCGGCTTGCGCTTCATCGTATCAAAAGCTGAGTGCTCATCCAAGATACTGTCCCGGCCTGTGACAAGTTTTTGCCGTCGTCGCACCGTAATTAGCGAGGCTGTCTGGGTTGTCCTCTCACTAAATCTAGCCTGATTAGCAGAAAATGAAGTGCACTAACGCGACAGAAGTGACCGAGCCTCTCTGTTGGTGTTTTCGTATGAGATTCCTCAGGTTATATTCAGAGTGATCTTGGAGAAGAGCTTATTGTGTTTCAGTCTGTGGCGACACTGTCTTTACTTTGCTGTTAATGCGCTCATCAATAACGGCATAATCGACTTGTTTGTTGTGAGTAAGTGGAGTTATTTGTACTGGAGTTCGTACTAACATCGAACTTAGAACTCAATATTTCTGTACAAAATTATTTGATTCGGTTCTAGCGGGCTCATATCGAAAATTATTTGAAGGTTAAGTAACTGTTACAGCCATCATTAAGCGACGTGTATTAAAAATTACATCATTTTAAATGGTCGTGCTAATCTTATCGAAAAAACTCCTCATGTGATAGCCGCCGCAAAGGATTAATCCGTTAAAATCGGATTTGCAATTACCGAGGCCCTGATCACGAATAAGTAAGAGAAGCTCGTCCAGTGATGCCTAACGCACTGTGTTATTTGTTCATGGAGGAGTATGTGTTATTTGTTCATGGAGGATTTGTTCATGGAGGACTATGTGTTATTTGTTCGGAGGAGTATGTGTTATTTGTTCATGGAGAAGTATGTGTTACTTGTTCATGGAGGACTATGTGTTATTTGTTCATGGAGGAGTATGTGTTACTTGTTCATGGAGGAGTATGTGTTATTTGTTCATGGAGGACTATGTGTTATTTGTTCATGGAGGAGTAAAAGGAACGCATGCATAGAATGGGCGTAGCCGCTAGCAGTTGTAGCGTGTGGGTAGAGCTTGGCAACAACTGGAGTGACTGCGAAGCGTGCAGAGTGCGATTTCATCAGCTGCAATCGAGAGCAGAAATGCAGCTCAGCCGAGCACCGCGTCTTTTCGGTAATGCAGCCTCAATACAGCGACTATCAGTGCTCGATTTGGTTGAATTATATTTCAACGTCTAAAGTCTTTACAACTTTTGCGTATGAAGACTTTTCTCTGAGTCTCGTTGAGGTTGTTACAGGCAACATAAGATGAGACATTGCTTGAAAATCTAATAATCTATAATATCAGAATAATTCGTCGTGTTTCAACCTCATTCGCACTCATGATTTCATTGCTCAGCAAAGTACTGTATTGAATATTTGATACGATTACCAAAATTAGAAGCGACGAAAATGCAATCTAAAGAAACGTATATATTGCAGCGTCGACGTTGCTCATTCATGTTCTTGCGTTTCATTTCAAATTTTTTTCCATTTAGGTTTTGTTTGATGTTTGGAAATGACAAAAATTTACTACAAATGCAAAAAGTAAGCAATATATTCATGGCGAAGTGTCGGTTGTTGCAGTGACCACTGTTCTTGTTTCGTGCGTAGCATCAGTTTTGTTTGAGAATGACGAACTGAACTCGTTACAAGTGCACGACATCTACTTCTTTGCGTGCGTTCGAGGCATCACAAAGTCGCATGGCCGAGACTGTTGAAGTTTGAACTAGTTGACGTTTTCTAATTCTGAGTATCATGCATGAATGCTACAATGATATATACCTGCTCTGGAGTTTATAGAACGGGATATACGCCTATGTAAATGTTGTATGTTGATTTTACTCACATCCTAGCTATACATCGATACGGTGAGCTTTTCCTAGCAAAACCTGCTCGTCGGCAGGTGTTTGTCTTTGGTGAGAAATTTTTTGGAACTGAAAATTTCGCCTTTTTCGTAAAATTTCATAAAAAATCAAATTATTTGAATTTAAAAGTGAAATTTTTGAGTTGAAAAATTAGAAAACGCAAGTGTTCTAACTAATGTATGAAATTAGAGGAAAACTTTCACTTATTGATTGTTTTTATTCCATATTTGCAAAAGCCTAAAAGTTCATTTGGTCAAATTCATTGACGTTGATGCGGATAACGATACAAATTCACTAGTTTCTGCTTCATTATTTTATCATTTCGTCTAATATATCACATATCACTCACGTTATCAATGATTCCATACACTTTTTGTTTCGATCAACAGCTCTACTCGAGGTTATTCTCATGATAAAGCTTCTTTTCAAACTTCCTTATTTCTATTCCGTTTGTCACCCCAGCTAAGTTTACTCCAACTCTGACCATTCGGGGTTACCGTCATCGCCGAATGCACCCATAAAAAGCCACTAACGATATCGAGGACACTCGGCCGCCGCCGTGCGTAAATGTTGGGAGTGCGTATTGATCCCTGAAGTGGGACTGGGTTTTGCATTCCGCTAGCAAACGATTTCCGTGACCGGAATTTCTTGGTGCCTTTTCGTATCAATTTGTCGAGCAGCGTGAGAAGCGGTCCTGCAGCTCTAGGTTAGTTCTTGCTTCTTGTTTTTTGGTGCTAAGCGACGACGTCGCAAGCATCAATGTTCGTATATTGGAGTCCCTCCTGTAACTGCGCAGCGATGTTCGTATTTTGGAGTCCCTTCCGTAACTGCGCAGCGATGTTCGTATATTGGAGTCCCTTCCGTAACGGCGCAGCGATGTTCCTATATTGGAGTCCCTCCCGTAACTGCGTAGCGATGTTCGAATGCTGGAGTCCCTCCCGTAACTGCGCAGCGATGTTCGTATATTGGAGTCCCTCCTGTAACTGCGCAGCGATGTTCGTATTTTGGAGTCCCTTCCGTAACTGCGCAGCGATGTTCGTATATTGGAGTCCCTTCCGTAACTGCGCAGCGATGTTCCTATATTGGAGTCCCTCCCGTAACTGCGCAGCGATGTTCGTATATTGGAGTCCCTCCCGTAACTGCGCAGCGATGTTCGAATGCTGGAGTCCCTCCCGTAACTGCGCAGCGATGTTCGTATATTGGAGTGTCTCCCGTAACTGCGCAGCGATATTCGAGTACTGGAGTCCCTCCCGTAACTGCGCAGCGATGTTCGTATATTGGAGTCCCTCCCGTAACTGCGCAGCGATGTTCCTATATTGGAGTCCCTCCCGTAACTGCGCAGCGATGTTCGAGTACTGGAGTCCCTCCCGTAACTGCGCAGCGATGTTCGTATATTGGAGTCCCTCTCGTAACTGCGCAGCGATGTTCGTATATTGGAGTCCCTCCCGTGACTGCGCAGCGATGTTCGTATATTGGAGTCCCTCCCGTAACTGCGCAGCGATGTTCCTATATTGGAGTCCATCCCGTAACTGCGCAGCGATGTTCGTATATTGGAATCCCTCCCGTAGCTGCGCAGCGATGTTCGTATTTTGGGGTCCCTCCCGTAACTGCGAAGCGATGTTCGTATATTGGAGTCCCTCCCGTAACTGCGCAGCGATGTTCGTATATTGGAGTCCCTCTTGTAACTGCGGTCGAATGACGCAAATAAATTCCCGTAAATTCACGGTCGAATGACACAAATTTATCCTACCCACACACAATCATTTTTCTTAAATGCTGTTAAGTATATTTCTTCGAGAAGTAAACTAACCGGTTGAACAAATTACTCTTCCTAAGGATTGCCGTGTCGTTCATTTTCCTCTCCAGCGACTTGATATTTTGCTCACATTCTTCATGTCGGTCCGGAAAAGTTCTGATGAGTTTTTTCTTAGCAAAAACTTATCTTTGGAAGACAGTATAAATAGTCTGATGTGGTGATTCTGAAGAAATTGCACTTGTTTGACTTTAGTCGTTAAATTTTCATATAAATGTCAAGTTATTTAAATTGCGCAAATTGCAACTTGCGAGTGAAAAACATAAAAACAAATACCCGTGACTTTTAATCTTTGTTTAAATTTATGGGAAGAGTTTTGCTTAATCGAGATCGCATTTATTTTGTTATGCGTTATGAACTGGCGAATTGGATCGTATGGGTGGACTGGAATTCAAAAGAACAACTATTTTATTACATCGTTTTCTCCCGGGAATGCGGATTAAAAACATTTGCGATATAATTAAACCATGATATAGTAATCGATCTTCATGCTTCTTCAGAGAAAAATTTATTGTTGTTCTATGGCCTCTTTTCATTTCTCAGGAAGCTCGGCATTTAGGAACTAAGCGACAATCAAGTGATATTCACCGTGTTCTTTCGTGGTGGTATCTTATAAACAATCTTTTTCTTGATGAATACCGATAGATTGTATAACTTGAAAATTTGGTCATTTTTTGTACATTCCGGAGTGTGAACTCCCTGTATGCAAGAGTGTCACTTCCGTGTATTCCTACGTATTATCTCCGTCTATGCCGAAGTGTGATTTGTACGTATTTTCTAGTGCGATCTCCGTGCATTTTTGTGCATACCCTCCGTGTATTTCAGCGTATGATCTTCGATCGTGTATGTTGCGTACCGTGTATTTAGGACTCGTATATTCTGTAGTGCGATCTCCGAATATTTAATGTTCTATCGTCTCTGTCTATTAATTATCGATTGTTTATGTTTATAATATTATCATATAAGAAACATATTTTAATTATCATTTGTTGTTGACAGGTCCGGGACCTGGTGGAGAGATGCGCGTGTCCATCACAGTTCCCGATGGTTAAAGTGTCCGACGGCAAATACAGGATCGGCGACACCAAAGTCCTTATCTTCGTCAGGGTCAGTTACATGCAATTATTAAGATGAGTTTCTTGATGAAAACCTTTACCTGGTAACTGAAATTACACCTAAATTATAAGTCCTTATCTTCGTCAGGGTCCGTTACACGAGATTCTTTAATAAATTTTTCCATAAAATAAATCAGAGATAACCAATATTTGGTTTCTAGATGGTATTCCGTCCAGAGGTCAGAATATCTGAATAACAATAGTTTTATGTTAGTGTTTTGATTAGTGATCAAAGGGCCAGCATTCGTTTGTAAGTCATCAGACGATGAATATTAATCTGGATCATTCATGAATGTAATAATTTTTAGTAAGGGCCAATTATAATTATTGATCTGTATATGTTCTCAATAAAAATTTATAATTTGCATCTATATTATCTACATTTGTAAGGTGACATTCATATTAATTTGTATCAAAAGCCCAACCAATGTACACGGAACAAGTTTTCTTATATTTTAATGTTCCAAAAACTATTATCTATACAAACTTTGTTTATAATCTTGATGAATGAACAGTCCCTATTTATTGGATCAGTATGTATGATCTATTTTTACTCCCGAATTTAAAAATTTAACGTAAATAAGTATTTTTAATTAGAGAACACTGGTACATTTGTTAAATTTGTCATTTTGTCTCGTCTTTAACGTTTGTCTCTTGCGACGTGCAGATTCTGCGTAACCACGTGATGGTTCGCGTGGGCGGAGGATGGGACACTCTCGAGCACTACTTGGACAAGCATGATCCCTGCCGCTGCAGAGCTGGTAAGTTCCAACTCGTTCATTGCTTTCACTAGCAACCTTAATTCTTTTTAGCGCATTATCTCATTTATGGAAAAAATGCCCTATTGTGCTCGTCATGTCCTTCCGTCCGTCCGTCCGTCTGTCCGTGGCTTCACGTTTTCGTCAATTCTGAGAAAATGCGCTCACTGTCACTCACTGTATTGGGTACTGAGTTTTTTTTAAATAACGTTAACTAACACTGCAGAAGATGTACGTTAAGTTGTTTCAAGAAACAACGTACTTTCAAAAATAATAATAATCAACATTGTAGAATAAACATTAAGTCGTTTTACGGAACAACTTACTTTCAAAAATAATGTTAATCAACATTGTAGAATGAACGTTAAATCGTTTTACGAAACAACATACTTTCAAACATAACTTTAGGCAGCAACACTGTATAATAAGCGTTAGGCCGTTTTACGAAACAACTTACTTTCAAAAATAACTTTAATCAACACTGTATAATAAATGTTAAGTCGTTTTACGAAACAACGTACTTTCAGCTCGCAAACGGCAGAGGTGAATTTCGTATAAACATTAACTTGCAAACAACGTTAGTGTTTGTTGCAAATAACTATAGTCGATCTTACATAAAAATCGATTCATCGTTCAAGCGACGTTAATCCATCTTCAAACAATGTAAATTAAGCTTGCGAAAAATGCAGTTCACGTTGCAGTAATACATTATTCCAGATGCGAGCTATGCTTTCAACGCTATATACACTGAACCCAAATTCCAAAATTGAACAACAATTCAACTTCTTATCAACAAGTAACAGTTCCAAATGAAGCTTTTAGTTATCTTAAAGAAGTAAATACAAGATTTATTTGCACAACAAATCCGCTGCCATATATATTGACATAAGTACCTATATTATCAGTCTGCTTATATCGCAAGTTCACAAGGAATTTAAAAGCAAAGAAAACGATGATGAATCTGGACACCGAAACGTTTTCAATAGCGATATGGTGAATTTTCTTAGCGTTTTCTTTGCTTTTAAATTCCTTGTGAACTTGATATATTAACATGTTACGATACATATCATGTTACGATATATATCAGGTCACGATATATATATATCATGATATATTGACATGTTACGATATATATCATGTTACGATATATATATCATGATTAAAATCACTTGACTGCTTAAATCGCAAGTTTATCAAAAATTAAAAGCAAAGAAAATAGCCAGAAAATTCACCATTTCTTTATACTAGGCTGGCGGAGCATAAAGGAAGGAGTTTTAGAACAGGAAACCTGCTTGTGCATCCCCCTCATTCAGCAGTACGCGTCCATGCCGAGCAGTGAACGTGCCAGTGTCCGATAGTGATTTTCGAATTTTAGCCTCCACGACCGGTGTTTCCGACTTGCGAATTCTAGAGTCCCTTTATATTTTTAAACAAAAGCCTATTTTAAATGCCGCTAATAGTTCATATCCCCTCGAAATCGTAAATAGATAGATTTGTGCCCGTGTTTGCTTCATTCTTGTTTGTTTCTCATTTGACGATTTATGCATCAATGTGAATTTATTGCTAATTGTTTGTACCTGTGTTTTAGGTTTTGAACTGATGATGGAGCTGGTCTCCGAAACGTTTTCCTTTTTAAGAAATGGTGAATTTTCTGGCTATTTTCTTTGCTTTTAAATTTTTGATATATCATGATATATTGACATGTTACGATATATATATCATGATATATTGACATGTTACGACTTGTTCAGGTCACCGCGTGGTCGTGGGTTGCTCACACATCGGCTTCAAGACGACGCCTAACAGTGACCGTCAGCTGTCGTCAGTGACGTACGACAGGTGTGACGAGGGTGGCTCTCCACTGCCGGGTCGTCGTCGCAGCTCTGCTCCTCCACGTCGCGACTCCAGCGCCGCGCAGTCTCTTCGTCAGCGCTCCCAGTCACCCGCCAACGTCACCAGGTCTGAATGCTGCAACTCATACATTTCTGATGGAAGACTCAAATTATGACTCAAATTATAATTAACTTTTTTAACATTGTTTAGAACTGCCTTAATTTTGAAGTTTCTTTCAAATCGCTCTGATTTTGAAGTTTTTTTTCAAATCCCCGGATTTTGAAGTTTTTTAGCGCATTTTCTCATTTATGGAAAAAATGCACCATTGTGCTCGCCATGTCCGTCTGTCTGTCTGTCTGTCCGTCTGTCCGTGACCTCAAGTTTTCGTCGACGAGAAAATGCGCTGTCTGTCACTCACTGCTGTGAGTACTGAGGTATATTTTTTTCATATCGCCCTGATTTTGAAGTTTTTTTTCAAATCCCCGGATTTTGAAGTTTTTTAGCGCATTTTCTCATTTATGGAAAAAATGCACCATTGTGCTCGCCATGTCCGTCTGTCTGTCTGTCTGTCCGTCTGTCCGTGACCTCAAGTTTTCGTCGACGAGAAAATGCGCTGTCTGTCACTCACTGCTGTGAGTACTGAGGTATATTTTTTTCATATCGCCCTGATTTTGAAGTTTTTTTTTCAAATCGCCCTGATTTTAAAGTTTCTTTCAAATCGCCGGATTTTAAAGTATGTTTCAAACAGTCTTCATTTTAAGGTATATGTCTAACTTCATAACCAAGTTTCAAGTTACACTATAGTGCCGGTAACAATTGAATACCTACTGGATTATAGTAATCCCTCACTGTTCGTAGGTTAATTTTTTGCAAATAATCTACTTAACGTTTTTTTTCGTATTATTTGTGGCCTGCATATCATGGATTCATATCACTGATGTATGAGCTGAGGAAATGGTTATGATGAAAAAATTATGCCATTGACCTAAAAATTACGCCCACAATATGGATTAAATCTAACGTGTGAATTGCCAAACATGAAGTTAATGTCCCATCTTAATAAGGAATTTAAGGAATAAAAATGATCCCGGCTCCCAGGACCTAATCAGTCTTACAACATGGGAAACATTTTGAGCAACCGTTCACGTGGAAAATGATTTATTTCAAGTAATAAAACGAAGTTTTCAAATGTCGTATTAAATTTTGTCAATCATTTGGCCAGGAACTAGTGCATGTGTGCATGTGAGATGACTATGTAAACTGACTATAATATAATAAATTGCTTGTAATATTTGTCTATAGGGTTGCTGGCAAAGGACCTTTGCCTCAGTCAACCCTTGCCCTGCCCGAGGACGGGGATGGGAAGTCCCCCGAGCCCAATGCCTGGTGCGATTCATCGTCCGAAGTCAGCGACGAAGGCTACCGTAGTCAGGGAGCTCCCCGACCCTCACCCCGCTCCCGACGCCAACCCTCGAACCCCAAGGCTGCCAACGCCGATACCGGTGAGTGTTGTGACTATGGACCTCAGGGCTGGCAACGCCGATACCGGTGAGTGTTGTGACTATGAACCTCAGGGCTGCCAACGCCGATACCGGTGAGTGTTGTGACTATGAACCTCAGGGCTGGCAACGCCGATACTGGTGAGTGTTGTGACTATGAACCTCAGGGCTGCCAACGCCGATACCGGTGAGTGTTGTGACTATGAACCTCAGGGCTGCCAACGCCGATACCGGTGAGTGTTGTGACTATGAACCTCAGGGCTGACAACGCCGATACCGGTGAGTGTTGTGACTATGAACCTCAGGGCTGCCAACGCCGATACCGGTGAGTGTTGTGACTTTGAACCTCAGGGCTGACAACGCCGATACCGGTGAGTGTTATGACTATGGACCTCAGGGCTGACAACGCCGATACCGGTGAGTGTTATGACTATGGACCTCAGGGCTGCCAACGCTGGTGCCGCTGAGTGTTGTGACTATAAGCTTCAAGATATTGCCGATGCCGGGGAGTTCTTAGAAAACGTCTTGGTTACTTATGCGGATAGAGTTCAATTAAAAAATTTTACCGCTGATATAATTCGACATTTTTTGTGAAATTTAACATTAAAATTCAATACAATGTTCACACTCTTTGTACGAAATGGTAAAAAATCCTACTTTTATAACAAAGCTTGATGGTAGATAAAATAGTTACTTGGAAGATTTTCCCTGGACAGTATCATTTTATTCATCTTCATTATTACTCTATTAATTTCTTAGATCATATTTTGATATAACGTTTACTTATTATTATGTAGGGATGTCCTAAGAAGTGGCGTTTTAGGCCTCATATTTTCTTATACTTTCAGAGCGTCCCGAGTCATCCATGACCCAGACGTCATCGGAGGGCTCGTCTGTGTCGGCGGATGACTTCGGTATGCCATCCACTCCTCCCCGAAGCCCAAGTGATCTGCACAGTTTTTCCCGCACTTCTGCTCCCCAAGCGCCTCCCCGCACCAAAAATTCTCCTGCCAGCGTTGCCGCCAAAAATGCCGCCGCCAAGAAAAAGAAGACGACGGTCCCATGCGAGACTAGTCGACCCGCGTGGAACTTGGCCCCGAGCCCCAAAAAGAAAGAGCCCAAGCGGCGTGGCAGCTGCGCGGATCTGTCCGCAGGTTATCCCATGAGCCGCAGCCGCAGCACCAACAGTGACAACGGCTTTCAATCTCTCAGTCGCAATATTCCCGCCAGAAAATCCTTGTCTGCCTGCCGCACGAATAAAAATACAGTAGAACCTCCTGTACGTAACCCAGGGACATGGAACGGCCGCACGAGCGCGGGCAGGGCCACCGTCAACACTGACATGTACCGGCCTCCTGCCTCTCCTCGAGGTTTTCGGTCCGCTTCGGCTTCGCCCGGTCCTGTTCGACGCAACATGGGACATTCAGCCCCCGTGACTCCCCAGACCCGCTCCCCAAAGTCCTCAACTCCAAATTCTAACCTCGCCTCCCCTACTCACTTGGACGACCTGCCCGACTACCTGCAGCAGCAGGTGTCAGGTCTGAGTGACGTTACCTCTAAACCCAGCGTAGAGATGCTCCAGCAACTGGAAAATCTTGTAAACAGTTACAGGGTAAAAGTTTTAGACCATTTCGCTGAAGAAGGCAAAGAGCCTCCATCGCATCTAGCCGACGACTTCAGCTGCTCATGGGTTCGCAACGCTCACTCGCTCACCAATTCCCCGAAGAAAATTCCCCGACCTCTGCAACCCAGCTCTGAGCGACCTGTCCCCAAGCTAACTCCTCGCAGGGATGGTTTGGGGTCCCGGATCCCCGCCCCCGTATATTACCCTCCGCATAACACCCCATCCTGAAGCTCTCTTTCCTTGGAAGCTTCTGCATTATAGATTTTAATTTTATACGTAGATTTTAAGTTAATTTTAATTTCATTTGTGTATATTTGAAGGACTACTAAATCTTTTTCGTAATGAAGCATTAACTTAACGTAATCTCGTGTTTAGCTTGCTTTGCTGATTTCTAATTATGTAACTAATGAATGAAGTGTAGTCATTTATTGCATATTACGGCTGAATATTACAGGCACCTTATTTATGTCACGTACTTAACGATCGTGAAGCACGTCAAAATAAGTAGGCGAGTGACTTTGGTTCTGTTAAGATTCCAAGCGTTTCTCCAACATTGGTGATGAATGGTATTGTTTTAACCTGAAAATTTTATTTAAACGGTATTAGATCCTAACAAACTGCACTAAATAACTAAAGATAAATGATGTCGTTTTTACCGAATGTCAAACAGCTAACACAAATATATTATGGGCAAGGATTGATGTAGATAGAATGAAATGCAAAGTGATATTATAATTCAGGTTTTTATCAGTAGCGTATTAACAACAAGTTGACGGTATATTTGTAGGTGGTGTTAATTGATGTGCTGATCGCTACTGCGATAGTTATTTGAATTTAATAAATATGTAGAGCTAAAGATAGATGCACTGATGCTCAGGTCAACTATTTAATTGTTGATATTCCCTTTAAACGGTTACTCGTCAACATCGTGAATCTATGCAGCGCTTTCCGTTCTCTTTAGGTGCAATTAATTCAGTGATTAATCAGAATAATGTAATTAATTATTGTTTAGAACTTCGTATTTTATTCTTACTTAACTTGATTCTTCAAAATATTGCTGAAATTCTACTGTTGGATATTGCCTATTTACAGTAGTTGGTTTTTCATCTGTCATATTTTCGAGACTATTATGTCATGGGAGTAATTGTCTTCATGATTCATGGTTAAAATTGGTGCAGAGGCTCGATAACTGCGATATTTTTAAATATAAGTGTAGGTCAATGATAAGGTCAATGTAACTAATGTTTTTTCTAACTCAAAAGAGCGTGCTGCAATGCCAAGCATATTTTCTGCTCCTAAATATGACTGATGATCGGCGATGAGAGGCTTAGCTATATTAGCCATAATTACGACGCTTGTATGAAGTGACCGTTTAAATCGAGATGAATGTTCTCCAAACCTAGAGGCCGTGCGTCTTCACGGCCGTTGTTACGAACATCACTTGTTCTTGCCGGGCGTTTCTTGACCGTAGTTACGTAAATCATTTGTTCTTGCCGGGCGTCGCCGCGGCCGTATAGTTACGAACGTCGTTTGTTCTTGTCGTGCGTCTTCATGGCCGTAGTTACAAACATCATTTGTTCTTGCCGGGCATCGCCGAGGCCGTAGTTACGAACATTATTTGTTTTTGTATTGCGTCCCGTGGCCGTAGTTACAAACGTCGTTTGTTCTTTCCGTGCGTATCCGTGGCCGTAGTTACGAACATCATTTGTTCTTGCCGGGCGTCGCCGCGGCCGTAGTTACGAACGTCGTTCGTTCATGCCGTGCGTTTCCAGAATGCACGTAACTTGCACAATTCTTCTCGCTCTGAACGCTTCGTGGCAGAAATATAATTTAATGTTAAGAATTGATTGAAGCTATTTTATTCGCGCATCTTTGTATTGAGATTATATTTGCTCTAACAAACTTTATCCTTCATAATAAGTTTAATTCGATATTATAATTGGCTTGGATTAAGTGGTGCCTAGTAATTAGTTCTTATATCTATCTATTGTAATCATTTGAACTGTTATGCGAGTAGTCTCTGTTTTAGGATTTAATGTAGATAGTCTTGCTATTCGCTTTCTCTTTGTGGTGCTCATGTTAAATCAAGATTTTGATTGATAAATTCATAATATTTCCTTCGTTATTATGATGAGGCTGGGTTTAAGCCCCTAGAACTCCTACAATAGCCTATTGTCTTCGTGACTTATAATCTTAGCAAATCATGATTATCTTAATGTCATTAATTAGCTCCCTTCATAATCTTAGAGCCTTTAATTAATGATTATCTAAGCGTCCTCAATTTTCAATTTGCCTGCTCCCGCTACGTCTGTGGCTGCTCTGTAACTCTGTCAGTTGTCATACAAGTTTCCTTTGCTTTTAGGAACCCCGCAACACTTAGGCTGTCTTTGCTTTCGAAACTATGTAATACTTTCGAAACTATGCACTATGTTGAATTCTACTAAATTGGTCCTAGCTCGTTACTGTAGCTGATTTTTACTTACAACAGCTCGGCAGGTGTAAGTTTCTCTTACAAATTAGTTTACAAAGTCTAACCTGATTTCTTGGAAATTGGCGGCAATAAGATAAGGATATTAAATTTGAACAGCTTGCTTCCACTCGTAATGTTTTATTGTGGTGTTGTGTAATTAAAGCTTTCCAGCCCTCTGTATTTCCCCTAAGGTTTAGATGTACATTTAACCCTTTGAAAAACGCTTATCCCCAGTACAGGCTTCCTGTCGTTGTCTTGTGTTTTGCTTTTGATGGATCAATCATACTAGCTGGATTAGTTGATAAATGCATGGGTAACCTGTGCAATTAACGCACAATAATCTTGTTTCGAGCATTGAGTCGCTTATCTTCGCGCGTGAGCAAATTTAAAATCAATTACTTCGTTGAAAATTTGTCTGGTATAATTGATGCCTTACAATTTGCCTAGATAAACGGCCTATGACTCCTCACGATACCCGGTATTAGAAAACTAAACTATGACATTGCAGCACGAACGAGGACTGCAAGTCACTCCTCGCAATTTTGATAAAATTTTTCTTCGAGAGGATTCTCATTAGAACCCCTGAAGCCTCTTTTTTCCTTCATCTGCCATGCCTTCTCTAGTGTAGATTATATTAAGAAAATGCCTTTCCTTCGCGTTAATAATTAGAGTTAATTCGCAACGCTTCGTGATATTCAGAATTGACTTTCCTCCAGTAGTGAAATTAACTTCACCAATCGGCGAAGCTTCGGCCTTCTTCGCTTGCGTTCAACCGTCCCATTGCATTGCCTGTGTTCGTCCATAACCAAAACTCCTTCCAAATTCTTGCCAAGCGTAGTCTCGTACTCCACGCTCATTTCTGTTAGATGCACTGCAATTAAACTTCAATTATCTCCAAATGTAATAAATCTCACGGAAATTCATATCTTCTCAAAGGCTCGAGGTATGCTAACAATAAATGGCCTAGTCCCATTATTCAATCTGTATTGTTTTTGAAACGTCGAATAAAATTATTACCTTGCCATGACGAGAAAACTACGCGATTTCAGTAATTCCTCGATTGTTCAAAGAAACAAAATGTCCAGAAAAAGGTCCTTAACGTCTATGGATGTAAATACTGGAAGAATACAGACAGCTTCATATCTCTTAGAGATTGCTTACCCAATGCCACTTAATTAATTGATATCCTGCTGTTGGCACAAATAAATTGTGTTTACTATCCCTCTACTGAATTCTTACTCTCGGTAAACTTTCCCCAGAATAGATGTCGCTGCATGATAATTACTTGATAAGAATTGTTTATGAATCCCTTGTGTAGATCAGCTGTTATTTCTCCAGAACATGAGCTGTTTTTAGTAGAGTTTGACTTAAGGTGTAGTCCATTGCAATCATACCGGGTGACAATTTCAGCTGTTGTGCCAGGAAAATAACGATATAGAATCATGCCAGACCCTGAGACCGCCGATAATGACGACAACTAAGATGGTTTAGGGTGTGAATATCTCCAGCTCTGTGATATATGGCCTCGCGGAAATAGGATGCGAAGTCCATTATGGATGTGTCCTTGTCTGTGAAGAGACGATGCTACAATTTGTGTAACTTAATATTTTCTCCGAGTTTTATGCATCATGCTTTCAAGAATGTAATCTCAATGCTACCACGTATCCTATCTCTTTGACGAATTCTAAATTTTTAAGTTAACAAATTGTTCCCAAAATTCTTTCTGTATGATAGGATCGTTAAAAATTTCTGTTTCCCAAAATAGAAATTCTGCCCAAATCTAAGAAATTTACGCTAAATTTTGAAGAACTAGATGTTGCTGCAAAATAATATATGGATAACCTGATCAATAAATAGTAATATTACTTGTAATTTGCTTAATCGTTCCAGTATTTTATAAATCTCACGAGAGCGTTTCATTCATTTGCAAACTGAGGCGTGCATCTGCAAGTGCCATGTTGAACAAATGGTTTTATCAGTTTGAATTTAGGTTGTTTAGATGGTTTAAAAATAGAATTCGATCGTTTGCTGAATTACCAGTGATACGGCGGCGTGAAACTTCCGCAGTTGTAGGAACTATGAAACTTTCATCATGGTTGGTAACATCGGCACGTGTTTCCAAAATTGTGGTGACAATCGGTCTTAGAGTTACGATTTGCACATGCATTTTCTACTAGCGCATAAGGAAATTTTGCAGTAATTTCTTACATATTTTCTAGAAAAATTTGTGGTCCTATTTTCATGAACATTCTTGTAGCGGAAAATCATTATATTCTTTGTATTCGTTGTAAAACCGTCATGCCGGACATTCCATTTTTGCTTGCTTTTAATTAAAAACGGCAATTGTCATTTTCGAGGAGCACTGAATTGTGCTCTGCTCTTATATACCGGGACTGAGTGCTGCATTTCTCAAGCTAATTTAGTGTAATGATAATCGTATTTTCGTTCATATTTCTTATTATGGAATTTGTGTGAAAACAAATGCAGTTTATATGTAAATTATAAATTGTTCACAATAAGGTGATTTGTTTCCTCAGTTCGAAAGCATAATAATTTGGCGGACTTGAACGTACATCACTTCCTGTCAGCATGCAAGTAGTAAAGAATAAGTGTGTAACTCAGTGGTCGTATAGACGCTGTGCAAGTAGGCTGTTTGGAAGTCCATATTCCAAGATTTTCACACCGGGGGAGGAGGGTTGGGGGGAACGAACAAGATCTGTCATGAAGGTATGAATATTGAGGAAATACTATGTGATTATATTTTATTCTAAGGTGTGTTTCGTTAGAGTTTTGTCTGCAGTTTTGTGAAGTTTTTCTTTTTTTAACTGCTTGATTTATCAGGAATCCTATATTATTTCCATCTTAACGGTTGAAACTGTGTTAAATGGTCATCTGTTTTCCCAAAAAAGTAGTGGATTTAATTAAAATGAAACATTTGGGTCATTATCTCAACAATATGATTAAAAAATCTGTAATTAAGTGTCATCTCAATCAAAATTCACATATCCGATGAATGGAATTGTTTCGGAATGCATTTCTGTGTTTCATGGCAAAAGCAGAGATTTAGCTTCAAGTCAATGAGAATCTGGAAGGGAATATAATTTATTAATTTTGCTGTAGTCTTTCCAATCAATAAACCCTACGATAATGTATTTTTCAATATCCTAGTGCATACGAACTTTCGGGGCTGACTCACAATGTCCAGAGTAAAGTCTTTAATGTCTATGGACTTTTCGTGGCTAATTCAAGCTAAGCGAATGATGTCAATTACTAATTAGGACTTTAACGCTATGTTCTCATGTAACCTTGATTGTAGCCTTCACGTGTTACACGATCAAAAATTTCTTAAAACAGTCACATTTTATTAGTACAAATTTGGTCAATTTGATGTTGAGCCAATTTTCTATTTTGCTGCCAGCCATTTGTGCATTTTATCAAGGATGTGCATATTGTGCAGGTATCCGTTTCGAAGTCAGTGATTTTAATGACATTATTTACTCCAGTAATGACGTTAATTACTCCCATAATGACGGTAATGACTCCCGTAATGACGGGAGTAATTTAATGGCGTTAATAACTCCTGTTACGGTGCTCATATACACGGGGACGGTAGTGGCGTACTCAGAATGCACTCAAATAATTAAGTGGTATATTATTCGAATACTGACCCGCCAATTTACCCACAGCACGAGCAAAGATCGGGCGTAAAAATGGGCTAAACTGGGAGACGATGACCCTCACAAGGGCAGAAATTAGCAGCTGTTTTAACAAGGCCTCTAATTTTTTCACTGCCAACTTTAAAATACTAAATACTAACAGCCACTACGGTATATGTAATGTGCTACTGACATCTTGTATAGGCACTGCCGGCCACGGAGGGACCAAAAGTTACCCTTTATATGAGGCCGGTTTCATGATAATTACTCGAATCTATTATTTGAAAGTTTTACTGGCCCTAGGTACAAGCACCCTGATTACATTAAGTTAATGCTAAATAAATTTCTATTTATCATAAAACGTTCTTTTCAATTTCGACCTCGAAATTTCGAAATTTCGTCGAAATTTCGTCGAATTCGTTTCTGTTTCGGAAAGTATCGAGGATTAAAGTTAGCCAGTTGCATCTTGAAATCGAGGAAAAATGTTAAGAGTCCCTCGATTCCCAACCACCAGAGGCACTTGTGGAGTACTAAGAGCGACTAATATGGTTTATATGTGTATGGGGAGGGTTCATTTCACCAACACAAGTTTTTATACGTATTCTATCCTGATAAATGTGTGCAACACACTTGTTTTCTATCAATTTTAAAGATTTCAGGGGAGCCGTTGACAATATTAATTTTGGTTTAATGAATAAGTGTGCTTGCTACCAAAGTTGACGTATCACACCAATGAAATTCACTCTTGGCGCCTTGGTTAAACTTTCCTTATAATCTGCATAAAAATTAAAAATTCAAAGTCAGTAACGGGGATTTTCTTGTAGTCAATATAAAGCCCGGTCCACACGCTCAGTTTTCACAACGATTTGTCTGCGCAGTTTTCAGTCGGAATGAAATCGTTGCAATTTTTAGAGCGTCCACACGGTACCGACTTATCTGAGTAGTTTGCTCAGTTTTGCGCGATCTCGCCATGGAGACGTCTCGGACAAATTTTACGGCCGGTCTCCCCAAATTCGGCGAGCATAGAATATCTCCCGAAGTAATGAACGTAGGTCGATAAAACTTGATACACGTATTCATTAGGACTTAACAGTGATGTTTAGCTCGTGAACATTTTTGGAATTTCACCTTCATTCCTGAGTTATATGACGATACGTGCTGAAATTTGCAGTGAGCATTCTGCAACGATTAGAACTGCGCAGACAAATCGTTGTGTAAAACTGAGCGTGTGGACCGGGCTTAAGAGACGTCAAAAATCATGTGTACTCTACATGCCTGAATGTGCAGCAAAGTTTTTTGGTTCAACATTTCCTAAACTCCATCGCCAAATTATATTATGAAAAATTCATGGAATATGGTGCACTTGAGGAAATATTTCTGTATTTCTTATGTCTTTAAACTTGGTTTTGTTGCTGTTACCGCTTGCAGCGTAAACCAATGGCAAAATTTTCTCGCTTGGATCGCGTCCGTATTTTTTTCAGTAAGTTTTTCATGATCACTGTAATAGAGATGCGGCCACCAATTAAGTGAAGATTTTAATCCTGTCTGTCTTCGGCAGTTATTGTCTCGTGCTCAATTTACCGTGAAGGCCTTCAATAACAGTATTCTCAACAATTTATATCGATGTTTTGTAACAAATTGATTTTTTACCGAGCTGTGAACTTTCGGGCTTCCAAGCGTCTGCAGCAGAGGCTTGTTGTTGGTCTCTGGCAGCAGCAATATCAGGAAGGCTGCCAGACCGGCGAGAATGGCGTAGATGGTCAGAGGCAGCCATGATAGGTTTGCAGGCTGGAAAAATATGGATGGATACTTATTTATAAGCTACTCTTAAATTCAATTTTGGCAATTAACTTAAATTAAAAATTAGTGACCAAGAGAGTTGTGAAAAATGACACTAGTGCCGAGCCGTACCACACGGTGGGTTGTCGGCCGTGCCTGGCGAAAGAAGTACATTGTGAAGCGACATCCTGTAACTTCCAACTTTGATTGTAAATTCATTATCTTTTTTCAGTGCTTTCATAAAAATGAACTTAAATTTTCGTTTTCAAACGAAAATTTCAGAATAAATGCGTTATTAACTACATAACTTTACTTTAGAGCTTGGTAATTTTTTTCAAATTTTATATCGGGTGATTATATTGATAGTTTCTTGTAATATTTAAAAGAAAAACACAAATCTGAGGTGCCTTCCACGCAGAAGTTGGCTTTTGCACTTTCTTGATGAGGCTGACTTGACCAACATATGATCATAAGTGCCTGTCGATTGTTACCGATGAACCACCCATGATTTGTAGCATGAATTAGCTTTAATTGAAATCATATGCGTAATATTAACGAATTGTGTGGTTGAGGAATAAGATTATTCCACCAACTCACTGGTCGGCCAGCAGCCCCCGACAGGACAGCCCACCAAGCAGCCAATCGTGATCATCATTTGAAAGAGCTCTCGAATGTTGGCTTTGAAACACACCAACTCGAACTGTAGTGAAGCGTAGCATACGTTATAATGACAATTACTGTAAGGTCATAGAATTTTAGTATTATTAACCCCTCAAGCTAATTTTAAACTGTATTAAAAGGCATTGACATCCAACATTCATCCAAAAAACACCCATTATTCAGTTATGTTCTTTATGAAGTATCAAATGCGGTTTCGAACCTTAATTTATTTTTAGCCAATTGCTCCAGTGGTGAATATTGTCAGGTTGGAACATGGAACCTTAATTATTCAGTATGTAACAATTCATCAACTGAAACCGCCTAACGAACACTAATATTGAATTTTGATCTTTGACCGTGCATTCACTAGCCTCTTCAGTCAGGGTGAAATGATAAATTTCATGCGAAAAATTATACAGATCGCAGCTCCGCTTGTCATTGGACTCTGCTCCTGTCAGCACCTCGCCACATTCCGAACTGCATTTTGGAATTAGGAATAAAATGCGATTATTTTGCTTACTCAAGTAGAGATTTAATCTAGGATGAACAATATACGATTATTTTGCTCATTCAGGTAGAGATTTATTCTGAAGTAGCATCGTGATCATCGAAAACTTCTTGGCAATCGAACAATTTGGCCATGAAGCGGAAGTGAGCGAAAGCTATGGTAAATACTCACAAATTTGTTGCAGTAACGTCCGGTTGATGTTTGTTGATACAAGTATCAACTCGTACAAGTAAACTGAACAGGTGGAGCTATGGATCCAAAGAGATTGATTGATCACGTGCGACATCGGACCTGTGTGGCTGTGGTGTCCTATGACTAGATTGATTTATATTGATCAAGATGAATACTTAATATGTGGAACGAGTGGAATTGTTGGCTATGTGAAAGGAACGGGCCACCTGGGCAGGGTGGCCCAGTGGTTACAGTTCAGAATACCATGCAGGACTGGAACATAGCGGTGCGGGTTTGATCCCAGCTCTGTACGCCAGTTTCTAGTCAGAATTGGCGATGAGGCCGGGCGGTTAAAGCGCAGCATAATTGGAGCAGCGAGTTGCGAGTTCGAGACCGCAACAAGTCGTGAATGTCCTGCGATGTTAAGAATCTGCGAAAGGCCTACGGCCTAATGAACGCTGAAACCGCGAATGTTATTATATACTATTGGGAATCGCTGAAACTTTAGGCGTGGCACGGAAAGGTCACTCGTCGAATGACTATAGATTTTGAAACAGAACTATGCTATCTGAAACCTTACCCCAGATGCTGTGAACTAAAAATTACGCTGGATTTTTATATTATAAGTAGTTTGATTTTTCATTGGTCGTAAGAAGGATTCTATTTTGAAAAATATTGTTTTGGCTTGAAGTAAAGTTTGAACTCAATGAAATTATCTTTTTAGTTATATATACTAATGGTTACGCATCTATTTAGGTTTCAAGTTTTACACAAAAAGACTCTAGATCTGAACAAACCATTAAATATTTGAGTTTTCATGCACTGTACGAATGTACGAATGTAATTCAATTAATATAATTGCCTTACTAATAAAGAACCACCAATCATGGAGGCCGACTTCTACTTATACTATAACATAAAATATGCCGAGCCTCAAGTTATTTTAATAAGCTAACTTCTGATAACCATGCATAAAACGAAAGGCTAAATTTGAGATTTAAATAAACATACATCGGTCGTTTCCTTTTGCACAGCTGTGTGCAATCAATTAAAAATGTTCATTGCTGTCTAAAGAGTGTAGGTTTTGTCAATACTGGCATTTAATAAATGATCTTACATCTATCTATCCAAGTATATCATTAACAACTAACGAAACTGACACTCGGCAAATAATTCAGCTATTATCATCACTAATGTTAATGACTGCAATGTCCAACAATCAATCTCTGTCCGTCATAAATCATCAAACGGAAGACGAAAGAGGACATGGAATAATAAATTCTCCCCTAATGGTGCGACAGTAAACATTAGTTCACAGCATCTGTGGTAAAGTTTCAGATAGCATAGTTCTGTTTAAAAATCTATCGTCATTCG